AGTGTATATGTGTTTCGTCAAAACACACCTAGTCACAAGTATTTTCCTTATCAGGCACCGTTAAATAACGGTCAGATGCCAAATAAAAATTCGCCCATCGATTGATTTTAATGCATATTTTATTGTTGGTAGGTCTGAACTTTGTTAATACTAATTACATTGTCCAACAAAATGCAGGTCAACGGTGCTGCAGATGGTTGCGGATAAAACATACGAATTGTAAGTTAGTGATATCATCCTTATATTGTATAACAGTTACAGTCTGGCGGACCAATACATGATTTATCTAAGGCAGAAAGGTGAATACCAGAGACCCATCGTGATTGACCGCATAACTCAGGAAGTCAGGGTGTTAGGTTTGTTTTTAATTAACTCTTATCAAAACAGATTTCGATAAACCACACTACCAAGGCAAGACTCCAGAACATTCTATCATATATGGTATTCTCGGCACAATAAGATTGCTATCCGGACGCTATCTCATTACCGTTGACGAAAGAGAATTAGTTGGAAAAGTATTTGGCCACAGGGTCTACAGGGCTCTCAAGTTTTCTCTACACCCCTTTGCAGCATCAACTTCTAATTTGAAAGAAGAAGAGGTAGTTTTTACGACCAATCTGATCAGCTGTAAATTCTAGGTGGAAACTGAAAATACCTATATCGAAATGCTCAAACATGTATTAAGAATCGAAGCTTTCTACTTCTCGTACAGCTATGACTTAGCGGTTTCTCAACAACGTTTCTCAGAACTGCATTCAAATGCAAAACGGTCAAATATTTGCTACAAGGTAGGTACTTGATAATTGATAGTCGCTCTTATATTCCAGGCGAAGTCACCTACTTCCAGCTATCTGTGTCTTGGCAACTGCAGACTTCACTCTCACGTATTTGAAAAAATAATGCCATTAAGCTGTAATTCTCCCATATCGTAATACGGATATGCCTCATATCATGTTTCAACCCGGTTTTTTTTCGTTAAATGAGGAAATCCAGTCTACATATACCGTTCTTAATTTAAATTTCTAGATTGTTTTCCATGGTCGGTCTCTGTTGTATAGAGCTGATTCAAACGATACATTTTCGCGTCAAGATCTTTAAGGAAATAGAAGGAAGAATGTAAAGACCTAGAGACTTACGGTACCATTTACTATGGTCTTAGTTCGCGCTCTCCACCTAATCAGAATCTGCCTAGCTTATCCTCGTCTTGCATTTCCAACCTGTTCTTGACTTTCAGTTTGTGGCGTGCCATCGGTGGCAGTTCTTCGTGAAAGGCAGAATCACATTAGTGAAGCCGCACCTGCTTTGCGTTCTATAATGTATTTTAAAGTATATACTGCCTCGTTAAGTCGAACCTGCCTCCTATTGTGACTTGCCGATTCTCAACACTGTTTCTGTTGACTCATTCAAATTATGCTCGTGGCTATAGTGATAGCTGGAGGCTCCGTAGTTTGTCTCATTTTGGCATTCAACGAAGTATGCTGCGGACATTCGCGTTACTTCTCCTCACCTATGCTGCATAGAGCGCCTCAGTTTATTCGTGTTACCGTTCTCCCACTTGGTTTTTGTCGGTGCCTTTGTCTGCCGACTTTGCTAGTAGTTCCGCTATCTCGTTAAAGTATTTGTCTTTTTAATCCTTTGCTGCATTAATTTTGGACTGTACAACTAATAGGCCTTTAGAAAATTAAAGTAACTCGCAGATGGGACTTCTTTTTCATTTCGTTCACAGTGTCTCTCAGGCTCCGTACTTGTAATCCCATCTGTATGCTGCATTCCAGTACATAGTTTCTGTGAGGCAGTTGTGTCATATACCGCTGTTAACTGGCCGTTTTCAGTAGAAATAGAAAACAAGGCCCTAAAGTGTCTTTTCATAGAAGTCGGGTGGATTTGTTTTTAAACAGCTAGGGTACTATATAATCGCCAGTAATTCACACCTTCACTTACAGGCAGAAAAACGATTTGTTTGGAATGGATTTATTCTTGACGATTGGAGTGGCCTTCTTTCTGCGGCGTTAAACGAAACTCCCGGCGTCGCATGGCCAAAGCTCGAGAGCCACGTCACCCCTGTGATCTTAGGTTTTGTGGGCATTTCACAGCCTGCGACACCTGCTGCCTTTCTTGATACACCCGAGGATGCACCCTGCTACGCACTTATTTCTCGCCGACCCATTTTCTGCACAGGAACACGTTTCTACACCCGTGAGACCGACAAGGATGCAACTGCCATAGAAACGGAGCAGCTTGCATACATTCCGCCTGGCCATATTTTCTCGTTTTTACAGGTACGTTTCCCCTGTCTCTCTCTGTTTTGGTATCGTAGGAGTTCAGTTACCGTCCACCACACGGTCCCTTGACGCCAAAGTGGTAAAAATAAGCTTATGAGCCCCCAGCAATCGCATTAATTGACGGTGTAAAAGGCGCCTCTAGTGCAATGGCAATTTGCAAAATTACCCTCATTGCTATAATCTTGTAAGTTTCTGTGTCAACACCGGTTGTGTCCCCCATTTACGTGTTAGGAAGAAAAGGCAGAACAGGATGGCAGATAGTACTTTACTGTCACTAGTTATGCTTGTACATCTGCTTGTCTTCTGCGTGTCCGGCAGCTTGGTCTTCTGTGTCCCTCAGCAGCGTGTGCTCTGTCGTCGTCTCGGCCAACAGTGTTCCCTGTCTCCAGCACCAGAATCTCGTGTCGTCGGTAGTGCGTTTCCGGCAACAGAATGCCACTTTCAGCGGTGACAGCATATTTAAGGGCCAGTAGTCACTGTTCCCTATTGGCTCTTCACGAGTGACCTCTACGGGCAGCTCT